TAAAATTAAAGTTTTCTATATTGTTTTGCTTTTTTTAAACCCCTTCGGAAACAGTAGTAACATGAGAATTTTTTTTTTGTTGTCAATAATAAATTACTTTTTCATCAAGTGATTCTATTGTATAAAAAAACGAAACAAATACTAATAGCATTGCAATTTGAAATTGTCCACTAATATCTTTTCGTACTTCAGCTAAACAAAAAATAAAATATAAACAACAAGAAATTTTTCAAATCAATTTGCATCATTCTTCTTCATTTATCAAAATTTCTTGTAATTAAATAAAGAAAAGCTAATTTTTCCATCAATATTTATCATCGAAAACTAAACCAGCTTCCAATGCAATCTAAATAATTGAAACTAATTTTAAAAGAAAAAAAAACCACAATGAATTTACATCAATATTTCCGTTTACATTTATATTCTGTTGGATCAATATTTAATAATTTTGATCGAACTTCTCTATAGAAACAAAAAAACACTATTTCCTTGAAGTTTTGTTATATGAATAAGTAAATCGAGTGTACGAATAATTCCATGATCACTATTAATAAGTGCATACTTAAAATGATTTGATGTTGTATAAATAAAAACACCTGAATCATCCTAATAATGATAAGTAATTTATATCATTTGACCATAAAGGGTGTCTCATAAGTTCTGGGCGTCGACAAAAATTATGGGACACCCTTTATGCATATTTAGCTTTGTCTATTCTTACACTTGCTAATGACCGTTTTTCTTGAGCATCATATAAACTAATATGATCATATTCACGAATTAATAAAAGACCTGTACCACCATAAAAAAATTAAAAAAAAAGAAACAAACGAATTTAAACTTACAACATGATTTTTATCAAGGACAACAAATTGATTTCGAGCAATTCATACAACATTTAAATCAGATGAATAGCTTTCAGGTGCTGGAAAAGAAAAATATACATTTAAATTATCGAACAATTTAGACGAGATGTCTTCCTCTTTTTTAAAGTGGATCATTAATTGTTTTTCTTTTCACATTCGAAGATATCTAATAAGAATAAACCTGACTTTCAATTTAATATTGATGGAAGAAATCGGAATCATCATCCATTAAAATTCTTTTCATTTCGAATACATCATACCATACAGGGTTTGTGTTGAACTTGTTGATTTACCAGCATCTTTTGGAATAGTATAAAGATCATAAATAGAATCATCCGATTGAAATGGTACACGTGGAGCACTAACATTTTTTTTAAAATAAAATAAAACAATTTATTTTAAAAATTCTTAGAAAATTTACCTTCGTGATTACCATAAGAGGAACATCTTATGATGTTATGATTTCCAATCGTCGTAAATATTTTTCTTTAAACATAATAAACACGATTTCCAACAAAAGCATAAACTGATCGTTCACGTTCCTATTTAAATACGATCATTTCATTATCATGACCTAGAAAATAAGTATTTTATTTTATTTTATTTTATGTTTAATTTTTGAAAACGAAAAGAATGTAACCAGGAGCAAAATAAATTTTAATCTTGGATGAACTATTAAAATCCAAAATCGATCATTTTTACAATAATTTAATTTAAATTGAATTAAAATAAAACAAACCGTTTGGTCATATCACAAACTTGAATTGATTTATATGTATCGACTTTCCAAGATTTATTTTCATTCATACGCCATAAGGGTGGGGTGTGGATGTAGTTGAAGATATTCGTACACTCACACGCACACCCACATAATGCCAAATTTCAATTTTTAATACGATTAGATTAAATTTGAAATAATGAGAAATGCAACTTTTTTTTTAGTTTTCAAACACTAACTATCTTTAAAATGAGATAAATCAATTAATGATGTATGTTTCATTTTTGAGATTTGATTATGTTGTTTTTGCCTGATTCAAAAAAAAATGATATCATCATTTTCTTGATTAAATATTAAAGTATTTAACTGTACAATTTATTCTTACGAAGAAAACTGAACATTAAACTTATCAGACTTTTTCTTTTTGCCTCGTATCATAGCTATTGATCATGGTTCAACAATTTTTTATTTACTTTTTCTTTCAAATATTTTGTTTTGTTCATACGATCCAAAATATTAATACAAATTGCTTATGCTACATTATTCAATATCATAATTCAATATTAATTGTATCATTTGAATGATTAAATATTGTTCATCTAACACGTAAGCATTCAGTTTACAATCATCAGTAATCCCTTCTTATTTTCTCGTTCGACCACCAACAACTAAAAGACAATGTTCACGAAGTCCATTTCCATAAATAATTAATCACCCACGATCATTGATAAATAATGTTTAATAAAGAATAAAATCAATATTTCGACCACATTTTTATAGTGAAAATCGATCGAAGAATTGGAATCGTAGTAAATAGCAGTGATAAATCCATCTCATCAAGATTTATAGGAAAATTAATCATTTTTATTTTTAATAACCAGATCAAATCGTGAACTTTATGGATTAACGCGAGCATAACGAATGGTTAGAAAAACTCATAAAAAAAAAGAAATATCATCAACAAAATTTTATCAGAACTATCTTTATTAATGAATTTTTTTGTTCACCAAGCGTTTGTTTTTAGATTTCATTGTGGTAATGAACCATATGTTCGATTAATTTCTTTTGGATCATGACAACAAATAAAACATCGTTATCTTGCTCAACATATGCCAAAGCAACAAAATGATGTTATTGTTTACTATGAACTTGTTGTACACTAATTCATGTAAATAGATGTGCATCAAATCATGAAAGTGCCATTCGATCCAAAACAAGAAAATAATTCTGTATTGAACACCAAATAAGATCTGATACAATACCATTTTCTATGATTGACCATAAAACACTTCCATCCTGGACTCATGCAATTATCAAAAACAGGAAATTAGAAAAATAAAAAAAACTCACTAAAGTACCATCAACATTGTATAGAATAAATTCATTTTTATCATATATAAGAATTTCATCATGTTTTGAAGTTCATGTTATGGCTAAACAAGTTGATAAAAAATGATATGATGGTATAGATACTATTTGTAACAATCAATGACGAAGTGCTAAATAAACAGTAGTTCTATCAAGTATATCAGTTGCATGACATACTTGAAGATCATAAACTGAACCTGAAATACTTTTAACCTAAATCAAACAATTAATAATCAATTAAATTGGAAAATAATCTAGTCGAACCTGAATAAGTGTTCGACTTCTTCCAAGGATCAATCATTTCTTTGCTTCATTATTCTTATTGATTGTTACTGTTGGCTAAAAACTTCTAAATTTTCTTTGAAAATATCAAATCGATTTCATGTAATTTTTCATTGTAGACATCTCAAAGTTAAGTTAATGATAAATTCAACCATGATTCAAGTTGTTTTTGAGCATATGTTCAACAATCATCAAATAGAAGTAACAACGATTCCATCATATCAGAGAGTCCATCAAACTAAAATAATCGAATGTCATTGATGAGAAAAGAAATACTCATTTGATTATTCATTATTATTTTACAAAGATAAATAATATACTTTCTTCAATAACTATTTGTTCATTAAACGAAGTTATATTGAAATTTTTAACAAGTAGACAAAAAATATTTTTTTGTATTCATAACATTCAAAACAAAACAGATTAACAAAAACCAATCTAATTAAAGACGAGATTGCAAATATGAGGGGTCCACAAAAAATCAAATTTATCTTGGTCTAACTTTTCTGTATGTCTACAAGC